AAGATAAAAAAGTTCACAATCATACACAATCAATTTCACTAGCTATACATAGAAGAGAATGAGGGTACCACCATTGATGATGAATGCATCTACTTAGTTGTACCCTCTCCTACGAATGCTAAGCCCTCACTATAATAGTGTGTCTACAGAAGTTTTGAATGGAATAATATAGCTATATAACTCGCATGGATACCTTTCTAACCGTACTAGGACTAGGTCTCTCTGACTTGGGGCCAAAGCAATGCCTTTTGGACCTTAATTAGTCTTGTGCCCTAGAGTGGTGGCTGGAACTGCCACTTATTTTCTTTGTGGGCTCAAGACCCTTGCCCGTAAGCAACCTCTCCTGTAGATATGATCGTGATTTGACCAGGCCTACTAGGGCGACGGTTGGACCCAAGACTGGGCTCTACTCGTGGTTACTAGTAGGTTTCTCCGTCATTGGACCTCGTCTTTTACAAGAAAAATCCATATGCTTATCTTGTTAGCTCCTTTGGTCCTCCTGAGTCATCCAACGTTAACATGCAAAACATTGCAATTCAACCCAAGCATCAACAACGCTTAACTTTGGATGCTTCAATCATAAACTTGACATTACTTTAAGCACTTTGACTTATTCAAACACATTGTTTTTCTATTTTTTTTTCATTTTCTTCTCTTGCAAACAACTATTTTTATTTATTTTTTTAGACTTTTCTTGTGTGGTGAGCTTTCTATAGCATTAGACTATTATTGGTTGAACAAGAGCTAGAAGCTCATATACCTCAAATCGTGTGAAGGTCAATAAAGTTAAAGGGTTTCAGAAGCTTTATCCGTTCCTTTAAAACTCATCTTGAGTTGGTTATTAATTCAAGGGGTGGAAATTTTACTTGTACTAGAGAGGAACTAGTATCACCTTGTAGGATTGCCCCACTAAAGCTCAACTAGTATCTCTTCCAAAATCTGATTTTGTGTAATGAAAAGATGTCCCACACGTTTGACTTATCACACACTTTTCTGAACATAACATAGCAAATTTTCGAATGATAACAATATCTTGATTGGTAGAATTTTGCATTGTCTTAGAAGACAGAGTTCACCCTTTTAAAACAAGAGACTCTTTTGCATAATTAGCTACCTATGAATAAATCAAACAACATAACATCCAAACATATCAAATAGTTATTTCATCTCATTAACTATCACATCCTTCATAACCACTACATTATCCTTCCTAGATCAAGTGATGATTCTAGCATGATTGCTCCAAGTAAGATTACAAGTGATCATCTTGTAGGGGATGAATAAAATTTATTGGATGGAAAACATCTTTAGTAATTTCAAAAACTTATGCATGTATCAGTAGTTAGCATTGGAAAATTTTCAAATTTGAACGACTAATCATATAGCAAGTATAAAACATATCAAGGCAAAGCATCTCAACACATTTCCACCCCACACTTTAGAATGGACATTATCCTCAACGGACTAAATAATAGTGAGCCATCATCTTTGTTAACCACGTCAGTAAAAAGCTGACAGTGTTAACGAAGGCTCACATAAGGTAAGGATGAGTGACCAAACATAAACTGTGTGATTAATTATAGTGACCAGAAATGGATTAAATATTTTTAGTGACCAAACATGAACTTTTTTAGTAATCCCAGTGACCAACTTTGCAATTTACCCTTACTGTTATCGAGCCTGATACGTTCTAGGTTCAAACACTACATCTCCTAAGGTCGTGCAATGAAGCATTAAACGACAAGTTCGGTGCATTTCCAACGTTGATCTCCTTCTGAGTCCTCTCTCTAAGATCGCCCTCCACTGCTTCCTGAACGACGTCGGCGACGTGAACAGGTAGAGGAACTAGAAGCAGGAGAAGGGCACACTGTTGAGCGCGGTGGTCGCATCAGTGATCCCCACGGTGGCGCTTAAGGGTGGGGGTAAGGAAGGAGAGGAGGCGATTTGTGAAGGGAAAGCTACGAGGATCGCATTGAAAGTAGATTTAAGAGAGAACATTGTTTTTAAAAAAATATTTATTTAGTACTTTTAGGAAACTAATACTTCAATTTAAGTTCATGATAAAAATACCAAATAATTTCTTTTTTTAGGTAAAAATTAATATGTTTGATGACGTGTATGCCATGTTGGCACAAATTCGAAAAATGGTTGATTGTTGTTTACTTGACCGTTAAGTCTATCAATCAACAAAATGTTTGGAGTGTATTGCTATCACACTCCAAAAATTGGAACATAACTGTCACATAAAAATTATAATGACGCATTTGACATAAACGCTTAACTATAGACACTTTCTTCATATTAACCCTCTTTTTAGAATGTGGAGACTATCAGCAATGGAGAGAATTGGTTCCATAGCATAGCACTATTATAAAATAGTGTCAGGAGTGTGTATGAGAGAGAGAGAGGTCTGTAAAGTAGAAGACCAAGAAGGAAGGGGCAGGCAACAATGGAGAGAATTGGTCACATTTGTCGCTTGTAGATAGAATCGCGCTTTTAACTGCATTGGTCTCACCTCTTAGAAGGCGTGGCATAGACAAGACGCAAAGCACAATCCCGCCTCTTAGAAGATGTGGTATTGATGAGACACGTGAGCGTCTTGAGTTAAAATCTCAAGCCATGGGGCGACCCTCCCTAGCACATAGCTAATGCCTAGTAGTCAACCAACAAGTTACGCTTAATATGCACACAAGCTCATGCCCATCGCACGGTCCAACGCATAAGTTCACGGTTACAACCTATTAGCGTTAACAACAATGAGCTAGTAGGGGAAATCTTAACAATTTGAGAGCTTTAACTCAAGAAATTGAAAACTAAGGAAGGGGCTAAGACAATGGCCACCCAACTCTCGCAAGAGGCAAAACCATATCGTCTAGACTAGGAGTGGCTATACGGCCCGGTCCGGTTAAATTTGTCCAAATTGATCCGGTCCAATCCAGTCTTTTTGAAAATATAAGGACCAAAGATTGGATTGGATACAGTCCGGTCTTGACCCGGTCCGGTCCCAATTCGGTCTTGATTTTATATTGAGCTCGTGGAGATTTGAGTGGCCTAAGGCCTGAAAAGGTGAGGAGTTGGTTAAGTTTTGTACAAAGTGCAAAGGTTTGTGCCTGTTTATGCAAATTACCCTTAAGTTTGGGTGCTGAGCTCTCTTATCCGGTCTTTATACAGTATTCGATCAGGTCCCGAACGGTTTTTTACTTCAAATCTAAACCCAAAGATTGGATTGGATTGTTTACTATCCGGTCCCGGTCCGGACTCGATCGAGGTTATACGGTCCGGTTTCGGGTAAAACCAAAAAACCCGAACCAAGTAGCCAGCCCTAGTCTAGACACACAAGTAAGACAAATTAACACATATTAACACATTATGGTACTCCAACCATTCTTACAGAATACAAACAGTAAGTGGGAAAATGTTGGGATGTATATTAATCTTCCTAATACGGCAAACGATTATTTCATCAACTCGTACAATCCCACTATAAGGCATCTCACCTCATGCCCAAACCCACCAGAGGCTCGAGCTTCGATATAAGGAGGCTCAAGCCCTCTAAGCAAAGGGTCTTCTTCCCTTCACACTCTCCCCCTAAGAGAATAGTCAGAGGAACTAGGAGCGCCAGAAGGGGCACGATACTGAGCACAGTGGTCGCGTTAGTGACCTCCACGGTGGTGCATAAAGGTGGCGGCATGGAAAGGGATGAAGCGATTTGTGAAGGGAAAATGACGAGGGTCGCAAGGATAGAAGATTTTAGCGATAATATTCTATATATATGGATACGACTCGTATGCTCCTGACGCATAGCATGCGCTAGACTTCTAGACCGTTGATCTAATCTGACGGTTTGTATTAATTATAATAAATTTATTAATTTACTAACAAATATAATTACTAACATGACCTTTTAAATAATTATACGTGCAATATAATCCCTCAACAATGTTTACTATTACATATTGTATCATACTACCTTATTTCTTAGATGCTTATCATTCAACCCCAAAAATTATATATAATTCACGATTGTTTGTCCATTAAATTTATGAAGATGGATCGATCATTAACCCAGAAAAAAAAAACAAGAAAACATCCACATTAACATGATACGGACCCCATTTGGAAGGCCATCATCATCAATAGAAACCATCTGCACCTAATAACATCAGCACTCAATGCAACCCTAATTTCATCATGATCATCAAGGAACCCAGCTACCCCTAATTACTCCGTCATCACCAAGGGAATAAATTTGCCCCGAATGATTAATGAATCAGAGATTCATCTATTGCTCTAGCAGCAGGTCATAGAGCGGCACCCGAGCTCCGGTGGAGAGGGGTTCAGTTGGTCAGAATTTTCGAGCATAGGGTGCAATTTGACGGAGGCATACGTCGGCGGTGGGGTTTAATGGGTTTGACTAGAGAAGGAAGAGGTTATTCTGTCCATTGTACCGAAGCTATTGTTGGAAATAAAATTAATTTTTTCCTTTGACTAATCGTGGGCACATATATAGACTAAAGGAAATGGGAATAGGATTTTGGATTGGAGGAATGGAATTGGATTGGCAGATGAAAAAATGGAGAGGTGTGTAGGCGGCAGAGAAAGTTTGAGAAGAGAGGTGTGGTGGGATTACGGTGGTGACGGCGGGGACTGGGATGGTCAATAGGCTGCAATGAAGAGAGGAGCGCGCCTCTCATCGGCGGGATTCTCCTGGCCGGAATTGAGTATCGAAGCAGATAAACTGCAGTTTGCAGAGGGAGATAACGGGGAAGAAGAGGAGTGAGTGACGACGAACCTTTTCGTGTTCCCGGCAAAATCAGAAAAACGACGTTGCACTAGGAATAGATCACCCAACTAAGATTGAAAGTAAACGTAACTTGATGATTGGAGATATGATTAGAATAGAATTTGGTACTGTAATACTAAAATATGTGAAAAGTTTGTTTAGGGGTTAAAGAGTAGGTATGGAAATATAATAGGACTAATTAATCATTTTAAAATTGTAAAATTAAATAATTTAATTACAATTAATAAACGTCGTTAGATTAGATCAACAGTGTAGAAAAACTGCAGCATAGTATGCGTCAGGAGCATACGAGTGTGAGCCATATATATATATATATATATATATATATTTATGTAGTATTTTTTAGGAAATAATTATTTTAATTTCGTGATAAAAAAATGAATAATGTCTCTTCTTTTAGATAAAATCATTATACATTTGATGACTTGCACGCCTTGTTTGCACAAATTCGAAAAATGATAGATTGCCGTTTAGTTGACTGTTAAGTCCATCGATCAACAAAATGTTCGAACCGTATCGTCATCATCTCCAAAATATTAGAACACAACTGTCACATCAAAAATATGATGACATATTTGACATAAACTCTAAAGTCTAAACTATAGACGCTTTCTTCGTATCAACCCTCTTTTTAAAATGTGGAGTATACTGTTTTGGTTCCATAGCATTAGCATAGCACCATTAAAAAATAGTGACTGTAGAGAGAGAGAGAGAGAGAGAGAGAGAGAGGTCACTAGGTCAGTAAAGGAGAAGAAGACCAAGAAGGGAAGGGGGCAGAGTGGGGGCAGGCAGCGCATCTTTCAATAGTAGGTTTGGGGTTTTGCCTTTCTCTCCTTTTCATGGCTGCCCTTTACCTTCCCTTCTTCCCCCCACCCGCTTTCACTCCTCATAAAGCCAAATGTATTACCAAAACGGTGTAAAATGCCCATCCAGAACCCCCAACAATGGCTGCAGCAGCAGCAGCAGCTGAGCAACAACTGAATGGACGGTCAAAAAAAAAAAAAAAAACACTGAAATCCGCTGATAAAGGGTAACATATCCACACTGACTCTTCTCTCCTGTCTCAATCCTCAACCAGTAATTAATATACTAGTTACCAGAAAGGTAAAAAAGAACAAAGGCAGACATAAATTTAACTAAAAAACTGCTCATCCATCCATTCATTCATTCATCCATCAACTTTCTTTTTTCACTGTTTCATTTTTACCTTTTTTTTTCTTCTGGATTCAATCTGTCATTCCTATAAGCTGTACACTTCCCTTTATTTGAATCTTCCACCACCTCCCCAGGGGAAAAAATTTACAGCCCATTTTTCCCCCCCAACCCCACCATTTACCAATCCTCTTTTAACCATATCCCCAAAAAACAAAACTTCCTTCCCAAAATAACCCTCCCTCTAATCTAGTGACAGTGCAAACCCTAAACCAGCAATACAGAACCCAAAAAGAGAACCAAAAGGAGCAATGGAATCACATCCATCCATCCATCCCCACAGAGAAAAGAACCAACTCCCACTCTCCCCCCATTCAATTTACAAACACCACCATTTGTCATCATCACCTTCCCCAAATCCCCAAATCTCCCATGAGCAATCCCCATGGCCCAACTTCCCAAAACTCAGCCATCCAGCCAGCCAGCCAGCTAAGCCCTTCTTGATTCTCTTCATTAATTAATAGATCACGGCTTGCCCTGGTCTGGTGCGCATCATGTAGTGTAGTAGTATTGTTCCCCTCTCCCTTCATCTTCATCCTTACTTACTCTACTTAAATGCCCCATCTCCCACCATTTAAGGGCATTCATTTCTCTGCCCCCAAAACCACACAATGGGCGGTCTATAATTTAAAGGACACACAGAAGCAAAAGGATCTTATAGTTTGCTACCTGTCCTCGATGAATATTCGCCCGATGAAATCCCTGAACCTCTTGGAGTAGAGCTTGGGATCCACCGCCGAGATCGACGCTGGATCCACCTGCAACGACTTGTATGCATGCTCCAGCTTCTTGCTGATGTCGTAGTCTTGCAGTATATCGATGACCCCGAAGTACAGCACCACCTCGCTCGTCTCCCCACTCCTGCACGGCATCAACTGCCCCGCTCCCCCTGGCGTGTACTGATCAAAGTCGCTCCGTCGACCCATTCTCTCTGCTCTAGCAGGCGTGTTTGCCCCCAACCTTATCAACGGTTTCCTGTATATACATGCAAGTAACATCAAGATGAAATAGATGCATGAAATCATGTGTCCTTAACAATATTTGGGTTCTATTATGTACTCGGATTGTGTGACGTCCATTTTTAAAAAATCAAACACTAGGTATGGATATTACGCATACATTTCTTACAGTTTTTCATCTACAAGATACATGATTTCTTAAAACCATGTATTCCACAAAGAATGGCCACCAAACAACCACCATTTAGATATTGCTGAGTGCTGACAAAGAAAATAGACAACTATTGTAGATTAATATCAAAGCTTCATATGAGATACGTTTCACCACTACAACCATGGAGGGTAGATTTGGAACTTATCTTTAGATGCTAAACAGGACCACCACCACTTAGATTGACCCCACAAACAACTTATACTGTCTGCTAAACTTTGCCCCCACAAACACAGAGACAGATACCCAATATATTCCATCAAATTCATAATATTCAACTACAGAAATTATCATTGCCACCTTTAGTGCTCCAATAAACAACAACAAAGAGAGGCTCGACCACATGTTTCTTGCAGTAGTTACTTACATGATACCCAGATGTCACCAACTAATCCAGCAAGCCAAAAAATTTATATAGATATTCCATACATCAAGGCAACGACAACTAATGGTATTAACTGGAATTAGGATAACAAATGAAGATGGGAGATAAACAAACCTGCCAGCCAAAATTCGATCTCTGTCTTGTAGCTCTGCCTCAAGAAATCGACAGCCACGCATGAACTTCTCATTCTGGTAGGAGTCCTTGGTCCCTAAACAACAAAGAAGAACCACGTTGAGCAAAGTTTGGCCGGCCACATCTCATCCACACAGCACCATAAACCCAGTCAATCCTAAAAGGGATGATGATTTATTTTCTAGTAACCACCTGAGCGCAAAACAAATGGCGATAACCCCATTTTATCACAAGTGCTGTCGTCACGGAAGTGAAGACCAACCAAGAGACTGTAATCCATTATCCTCTCAGCTTCCAGAAATTCACAATCTCGATCGATTTGCCTACACCATCATTAAGAAGGATGCAGTGTAAGTAAGACGCTGATAGAGCCAGATAAAACAAATGCGAAACAGATTCACTATCCGAGAAAAACTTACTTCATAAGCTCCTGGTACCAATTCCGCTGGAGACGGAATACAAAATTGAGATCAAGGTCCTTGAGAGTTGTGGTTTCATCAATCTCACCCTCGGGCTTATCGGTTGTGCGACCGTGGGAGGATCCTTTTAAGTCAAATCTCCTATGTATTCTGTACTCTGAGCAGAACAAGTTACCCATCACAATGAAACGTGTCTGTTTGAACAAGCATAGCAAAGAGTCAACAATTGGCAAGTGGCAGCAAAAAGGAAAAGAGTTTTGAACAGAACCATAAGGTTCTTATACCTTCTGACCACCAACTGGTTTAACACAATGCACGCCGAAGAACTTCGTTACAAGCGAGTTCTCATACCGGCATACATGCTGATAATAACTGGAAAGCATCCGAATGAGGACCTGAAAAATGGATATGGAAAAACTTCAACACTTGCACCAAATATTTCAATGATAAACAGCACAGGCATTCACATATTCCACCGTTGAAAAGATTCCATGTGGCCATGTTAGAATTCTTTATTCAGATAAAGACAGAAGTCAAACGTAGTAGGCAACAAACCTTGACTTCAGATTTTTTCACCGTCTTGATCATGAATCGATCATCTTGGGTAAGGTAAAAGAAGCTTCCACTCTTCCCTGGAGATGAAAGCTCTCTGAGGGCATCATTACCACATATAGCCAGCATGTAATCAGCTGTATCTATTTCGAATAGCTCCCTCAAATTCCTATTGAAGAAGAAGAACCATTCATCAGTCACATTTTGTTCTTGAAACTCATGGGGAAACATAGATAATGAATGCAGTTCCATACCGGAACACCATTGGACAGTAATCCTTCCATCGGAACTCTGACGACTGATGTGGAGGTGTAATTTTCGAACCCTCTGCAGGGAACTTGGTCCAGAACTTCTCCTTGGGATCAAAATCAGAAGGCTTCAAGTCCCTAACTATCTGAGCATGTTTCCCCACTGAATATCTGCAATCAAGACGACAAAACAAATTAGTCAAAGCAAACACCCTACAGCTCCTCCATCAAGGAGAACAATCGATAGTGGAAGCAGGCAGGGGATTTACCTGATACCCAATTGCAAATTAAGCATCAAATCGTAGTTCTTATGGCCTTTAGAAATGGTCTGGCCAGGCTTCTTAGCCTCCCCATTGAAACAACAAGGCCCTCTCCTGAACTGGTGAATCCCATCTCGTTCCAATCCCAAACCATCTCTGTAAATCATGGTAGCCTCCACATTATCAATGATATCGCAGGTAATGTCACCCGCCTCACCATCGCTCTCCCATATGCATATCCTGGGGAAATTGATACTACTCCCTCTCCCAGCATCCACCGAAGATCTCTTCCTCGTCGCCATCGTCGCAACGAAATCTCCGTCGTTCCCTTTGAAGCAATGCTCCTTCCCGTTCCCCGGATAGAAGGTTCCGTTCAACTGCTGAGCTCTGGTCAAATCCTTGCCGCTATTCCACGTCCCGATGTAGCAGCTCCCGTCCGGCCAGGTGAAGACGCCGTTCCCCTTGGGAACTCCGTTCTCCCACTGGCCGTCGTATCGGTTCCCATTGGCCCAGATCAAAACCCCCTTCCCGGAGATAACCCCGGCCTTCCATTCTCCAACGTACTCGTTCCCATTCTTCCACACATACCTCCCTTGACCGTCCTGGAGATTCTTCTTCCAAGTCCCCTCGTAGAAATCCCCGTTGGCGTACCGCTTCTGACCGTACCCGTGCTTCCGATCGGCGCTCCAGGAGCCGCGGTAGGTATCCCCGTCGGATCCGGTGAAGGTCCCAAACCCTTCCATCCTACCGGACTTGAATTCCCCTTCAAACGTCGCGCCAGAGGGCCACGAGAATTTCCCCTTCCCGGAGGCCTTCCCCCGGCGCCACTCCCCCTCGTACATGCACCCGTCGGCCCAGAGGTACTTGCCGGATCCGTGAGGCGCGTTGCCGGAGAAGGATCCGAGGTACAGATCTCCGTTGGGGAGGTGCTTCTCAACTGTGGAGGTGGTGGTGGCGTCGCCGCCGCTGGAGCCGTCCAGCGCGGGCGAAGCTATCGTGGTGGTAGTAGGGGTGACTCGTCGAGTGGCGGACTGGGATCGGGGACGGACGACGACGATTGGCTGAGGTGGCAAAGAAATCGCCGCCGCGGCCGGAAGCTGCGGCCGCGGGAGGAGGGTGTTGCCGTTGTCCTTGTCCTTGAGCAACACCACGACCTTGTTGTTTTCCTCGTCGAGTCCGCCAGACCTCTTCGGCTTGGCGTCGCTCCTCTCATCACCGATTACCCCCTCTCGCATTTTTCGCTGTACCGCCGGCGCCTTCTCTGTGGTATTCTCCTCTCTCTTTTTTTTTTTTTTTTTGTCTCCCGCACAATAATTTAGGGCTTCCAGACTATGTGAGAGCGGGCAGGAGCATTTCAGAAGGAGTAGCCACTGCCGGCACCGGAGAGCGGAGAGAAGAAGAGGAGCATTTTGTCCGACGACTAAGGAGGAATGGAATCGGAATTTTGGGCCGGTGGCTTTCTCTCTCTCTATCTTTTGGGAAGAGAAGAATGCTCTCGAGTCTCGTCTGGTTTGCTTTTTTGGGGAAGAGGGAGGGGATGGGGATTTGTTGTGATATTTCGCTTCAGCTGAGCTATTAGGCTAAAGCCTAAGGTAGCTCCGTCTCCGTCTCCGTCTGCGTCTGTTTCTTTCTCTTTCCTTTTTTTTTTCTTTGTTTTTATTATTTTTATTTTAAATTTTTTGGATTAGGGAAATGGGAGGGCAGTAATAAGTAAGAGCGAAGGGAAAGTGGAAAGAAAGCAGAAAACTGAAAACACTCTCAGCATTAGCATTTACCACAGAAGCCACTGGTGGTGGGGCCGGGGGGGCACCGGACAAAAACCTCCCAACAAATTAATCAATTAATAAGGAGAGAGATGAATAAAAAGGTGGGAGTTGTCAGCGTAATTCGAACTGCTTTTTTTTCTTGTTGGTTTGTTTGTTTTCCTGCTCTTGTTACTTTTTTGTTCAAGCAGCCATTAGTTTAAGCCAGAAGTGGGATTTTACTATCTTGTACACAGGGGGTGATGTGTGGTGTGGTTTACAATCGTTGGATGAACACGACGACATTGCTCATCGTTGATATACTTGGTTTTGCGTAAATCCAAGTTTTCAATACATGTCTTTGTTCGATTAATTGATATTGTATCAAAGCCTATATTATCATTGATTTTGTGATATGTTCTTTGTGCTTTTGCACTTGCAGCAAGGGATTATTCAAAGCGAAAATGCACCTAATGTCAAGGTAGAGGAATGGATTGATCAACATAACAGAACTTGGGATGAAGAAAGATATCGAGATTCATGACTGATCAAGAGGGTACCTATTGGTCACCAAGAAGTTGGTGATTTTTGGGTTTGGAAACCAACCATCCATGGAGTCTTTACACTTGGATCTGCATATCGATCAATTCATAAGAGGAGCCAAGAAATGATCCCAACATCGCAATACGAGAAAGATAAATGGAGATGGCTGTGGAATATTAACCTGCCGCCAAAGTTGAAGTTCTTCATCGGAGATGTGCGAGATCTCCACTTGCGACAAAGGCAAGGCTCTTCTCCCGACATTGCTCCTTGTCCACTTCGTCCAATCTGCAGTAACCACGAGGAAAGCATATAACACTGTCTGTTTGATTTTAGTTTTGTAAAGGAGGCATGGAACTCAAGCTTCCCAACCATCTTAACCCCTCCACCTCTTACCAACATCCTCGACTGATTATTCCATCTTAAGGAAGAGGTAAATGAAGAGATCATCCTCCGTGTTATCTATATGATGTGGTCCATTTGGGTGACTAGAAATGAAAAGGTCTTCAAGAACACCTCCCCTTGGCCACCTCGTACATGCTCCAATGTTGATCGTGACTTTAGCCAGTGAAAAAACTGCACCAAACTTGTCAATCAACGAGTTTTCTCTCTGGAATAGCTTGCTACAAACCGGATCATACCCTGTCCACCGCCACGAAATCCCACTTTGGAGATTCAGTGCGATGGTTCGTTTTTACACGAATCAAAGGAGGCGACTTATGACTTTGTGATTATCAATGGACATGGACAGATATGCGATGGAAAAGTTGGTTCCGTTCTTGTTCCTCACCAATTGAAGAAGAAGTTATGGCACTTCAAGAAGCTATCAAGGCAACTCATTGTTTGAATGTCCTGGTGTGTATTAAGTCCGACTGTCAAGCTCATGTCTCTGCTCTATCGAACAATCCCACCTGTTGGCCTTGGTCGTGTGCAGCGAGACTTGGGATCATGTCAATGACACTGTTGTGTTCTCCCCTTGTTAGAGTTGCTTTTATCCAAAGGAAGGATAAGTTTCGGGCATATTGGATGGCAAGGTCTTTCAACCAGGGAACACTTCCTTGGGACTGGATCACCATCATTAACCTGCTTGATTCTTTCTTCTCATATAAGCAAGAAGACCTTATCACCCATGGACCTGTATAGTTGTCTCTGACTCCTTTTCCCTAAACTCTGCTGGGTCTTTATCTCTGTCCCCTGAACCTCTACTTCTTTAAAAATGACCTTCTCTTACCCTTATCAAGAACTTATTCCAAGGCTTCAGATTTTCCTAGTTCATTATGGTCTTTCTTCTTTCCTTCTAGTTCAACATTATAGTCCTGCACATATTAGTGACACTTGGCACATGTTTTTGACCAATTACAATACTCAAGCTGCACATAATGCTTGATTTCAATGTGGAACTAGTTTCAAGGACTCATGGCTCTAAGAATCGACATTCATCCTCAACACAAATCTTGGGATAGCCCATTCGACATCCCATTATAGTAGATTGATCAAACCACAAGGGTTTTCCAATCACACTGGCTATCCTAGTGAGAACGCGTAAGCATATCCCAATGGGAAATCAATCAATTTAACCCAAATTGGTACCTCTGGACGAGCCTTATCAACTTGGATTGTGGGCGCCCATTTACGGATATAGCACATGTCATTGTTCAAGTGCCAGAGACCGCGTGTAAACACCCAGTGAATCGAGGATTCGCTTGAGCATTAGAAGAGGATAAGTTTGTTATCAAGCCACGAAACCCTAACTTTGCCGTCTCTACTTCAGAGCTCGTTAGCACAATCTTGAACCCGGTGGATATGTGGGGTAGAGGTCACGAATTGACCGACTAGGCAGTGGTTCCACCTTGCAATGCCTTCCTCTACCATCTCCGTCGAGATGCGCAGACCACTATCAATGATTTTGGGAGGAATGTAGACTAGGCAATTTTCTTCTGCGATACCAAACAGCTTAGCCCGAGAATGCTCTCCCATAGTGAGATCTCATAGATCAGTGAAGCGATTAAAAGGAGGATAACATTGGAATGAGAATGGAGTCAGAACGAAAGAGTGAAGCCGATTAGATCGTCGATGGAAGGCTGCCAACAACAAGGCCCGCAACGACATCAAACTAAGTCACAACCACCTAGCCGTTAGAGAGAGAAAGAGAGAGTGGTTCCTTCTAATCCGATTTCTTTATCATTATGTTTCTTTCATATGTGCTAATGCTACCCAACATCTCAAGTTAGAGATTTTATCATAAAAACTTGTGTCCACTATGCATCATGCTTTGAATTAAGTCATATGAGGAAGCATATTAAGTTGTATGTGTCTTGCTTTAGCCAAAATACTAAAAGCTGCACACATCAATGTATTCTTGTTGGTATGCAATTACCCAAAGTAAGATCCTGTAAGTCGATTGCCATTGATCTGAGGTCCATTGGCAAAAGGTCCGATGGGAAACCTGGTCCATATGATTTAACACTTGTTTTTTTCTTTCTTTTTGGTTGGTTTAACACTTGTTCCATATTTTTGGTTGGTTAAACAAACTACCCGGGGAAGGCTGAAACTATGTGCCACCACGTGGCCTTAAATCGTTCAGCACAAGGAAAAGAAATGAGAATATTTTCTCCACTAAAAAAGGTTTTAAAAATTGACGAATGGTTTTTTAATTTTTAGTATTAATGGAGGCAACAGAACATTTTCCTGAGATGGTTGTATATTTTTGAACTTTAGAAAAAACAAAACCAGCTGAGTTGATAGATGTTGTTCAGAGATTCTCAACATTTATATATTTCCCCTCCTTCGTTTCCATATAGGAATAACGATGTTGACTACTTAATCAAATTAGAGGTTTGAAAAGTGGTGGAAATATGGGTAAAATGCCATTCCAAATTTATGGGCAACGATGGAAAGATCAAGAAGTGCATAAGCTATAATTTTAAACATCTTTCAAATAATTGGGACGTTAACAATAACTAGTTTTCAAGTGTACATTATCTAATAATATCAAAGTTCGAAAAGTCGTGTTTATGAATGTAGATCAAGATTGTCAATCCGTGCGGTTGATCCGGTCGCCACACACTCGTGGGGTCGACCCACAACAAAGTTCTCGTGTTGGAGGTCACATAGCGTTGTTTTCCCATCTTTGGTTTGTGAAATGCGTCTCTTTTTCGGGTTCCCACTTCGCCTAACCCTTTCTTAGGAATTCTAAGTTGAACGTTTAAATATTGTTGTTATACGAGGGTGTTTAAATTTTCACTATATATATTGGATATCCAAGTTCAAACTATTATTTCGGTATAACGTTATATGTTATTACCCATATATTAGTTGATATTTGATATAATTTATAAATGTATGAACAATATAATGACTTTTTTCATATGTTCGAGCTAAAACGACCCGACCGCATTTAACTCTCAACCTGCTTGCTCGACCGGACCAACAATCTAAACCAGGCTGACAAACCTTGATGTTGATCGCTCTCTTTATCATCATCGTGAGTTCGTGACATCGCAAAGTGACCTCTATGTGCAATTTTCACTTTCCAAACAAGTTTTTGCTTGAGATGGGGTATATATATAGAGGGAACAATGAAAGTTTCGAGCTTGAACTTGTTTCAACAAATATAAAATGCAATGAATGGATTCTCTATGGAGTTGTTGATATGTTTATGGGTGTTCGAGCAAATTACCACCGGACTAATATTCCTCTGTTTGTTGGATGGCCGCGTTTTGAAGCCCAAGGTAAGCGGGCATATAATGAAAGACAAAGAAGAGAAAGAGACGATGAGAATATAAACGTCAATTAGAGCCCCAAACCAACCAACCAACCAACAAACCGTCGTCACATTTTTTACAGTTGGGAAATGCTGGCAAGTTGACGAGGTCATCATCATTAGGGAATTCAACGTCCATCCTCTTCTCTCTCTCTGTTTCTCGGGGAATCAGAAGAAAAATGGAACAAAGCAACAAGACGTGGGATGCTGTTATTGCCTGGCTTGGCTATATATTTGTTTGCCAGTTGGAAGACGTGATCACCATCATCTACCTGGTCGCCCCAGCACCCGCCACGTGTTGCTGCGTGGTTGGATGTGTTACGACAAAATTCCAAAATGGGCAGCTGAGCTAGCCGTTTGCGGTGCCAAAACCCCAACGACTACCCGACTCCTGTCCTGTCCATGAATAAAACAATATACAAAGCTCAACTGCCAACGACTTCCTCCCCGTTCATTCTTATGCAACGACGAGCTTTACAACGAGCGAGTGAATGACCAATTGTGCCTACAATATTACAGTACAATAGAATAGAATGATCCAATGATAAGGATGGAAGATACATATGATTCAAAGGAAGCTTGTTGAAAGAGGATTGATTACAAGAAGCATAATCACAATTAAAGTGTAGAGCTGATCTTATCTTATCATGCAACCTAAACAAAGACGTGGGAAGCTTGGCCCAAAAAAACTCAGCCAAAAAGATTAAACGGAAGGGGGTTTGACTGTTTGAGGCCGATCGATCACAAAGCCCACTTTATTATCACTGAAAGTCGACATTTTGATGTTTGTAACAATAGTGGATAATAAGATAAATGAGATTGTTTTTCGGCGACAGAAAACTCTTTATGTTTGAACTCAATAAATGTATTTTGATTTTTTGAACAACCATTCTATATACGGTTCATGCGTCATCGAACAATATTCGGATGAGGTACTTGTTGCTTTTGGTGGTTTTTTTTTCCAGGACACAAACTACGTTAATTATAGCTACCGGGTATAACTGCCTTTGGTACCGCTTGTTGGCACGTTGCTCCAAACCACCTCGGAGTCCTCATTGATGTCTTGGTGGCCGGTTGGTAATTTTCATCTGGGTGGCTTGGCATCATGCTTGATTGGTGTTGAGTTGAGCTCCATCTTGCTATCTCATCCTCACTAGATGGGGTTAGGGCGTTCCTACCTTGCCTCCATCACGTTGCTATTTACCACTAAGACTCCTTTGACAGTCCTGGATGGGATGAGAACCTATACTTAGTCACAGAGGGCTTGGTTTCATCTTGTGAGCCTGTCACTTAGCTGATTTGCCACCAAGTCCATGTAATCACCTTGACAATTTGTCATCCCTCCGTCTAGATATCCCCTGCTACCAAGCCAGTCATGTCAATCCATGCTACAACGCCAGTCCTGCCGACCTGGTCTCTATACTTAAATTTTTAGAATCTCTATATATATATTTCTAGAAATTATCATTATTTTTCTCAACAAATTTTGTATTTAGCATACAAATATAATATTTTCATGAAATTGAGTTGTTTGAAATTAATTTTCTTAATTCTAGTAAATTATTGTCGTAATTTCTCACTTATATATTGTGAGTAAATGTGTAAATGTTAACATATTGGTAGAACTCATAAATTGAAATTATTACCCATGGAACCGTGGATACTCGAAACCCAAACGGATATGAGCATAATTATGATTTTCTACATGATTCTCATGTAGGTATGGGTATGGGTAAAATCCGAACTATTTTGAGTAGAATAACGAATATGCACTATCCGCCCTACCTGATGCCATATAGACAGAAGCTAATTACTGAGTAAAGCTCATTGTTGCTAACGGTAACCAATACGAGCTAGACAAGTGTCACCTTTTTCCTTGTAATTACACTTGTACAAAACCGAAGATCAAAACGGTGTGTTCTTTATTCATGCACGGTCTTTCAAGTGAGCTATAGGTGAAAGGATACCTGACCAATGAGACTAGGGCTGGAAGTTTGGTATCTGTATTTGGGATATACCGAATACTGTATCGAATTTGTCTATATTTGGAACTACTCCATCTTGTATTAGATCTTCGTTCAATCCTCTTCTTTTCTTATTAGGTATCTGTGCGGCGATGTTGTTCTTCCTCTATTCGTAGGGGAGGGAAACACAACGTTCATTTCTGAAATGGACAACTTACCTATTACCGAATACACTATTATTTCTTGGGATTGAGATTGGGATTGAGATTCAATTTCAATGGTTATTAGGAATTAGGGATTACGGGATTGTGATCGGTATATACCGAAGTGCCAAACAATATCGAAATACAAGCTAATGTATAATTTATGCTCGCAACTAAACTCTCTCATTCACTACTACACGACCCTCAACCACCAATCTATTGTTATTTTCATAACATAAAAAACAAACACTAGTATTAGTCTTCTCTTAACCTCCAATTCATCAAATTAAAGGTTACCAATGACAAGTTGATGTCACCTCTCCTCCATTCTCCTTATCCATATCCTAGCTCTAGCCAAACTCAAGACTCTTTGCTTAATCTCTTTGTCCTATATTAAACAATCAAATCTAATTAATTTCTTATTGAATAATATAGATTGAGATACCAAAATATTTAGGAATTGAGGTTGAGATACCGAAATTATTTAGGATTGGAATTAAATTTAGAATGTAATTCGGGATTCAGAATTTCGGTATTTGGCATTGGGATACCGATACCGTACCGATTTCCACCCCTAAATGAGATCATACGACATGCGCTGCTAGGGCTGGAAGTTTGGTACCGGAATTTGGGATATACCAAATACCGTACCAAATTTATCACTATTTATCGAATACCGGTTTATTTTTTAAGGATTGGGATTGTGATTCATTTTGGAGTCCTATTTGGTATTCGGGATTACGGAATTGGGATCGGTATATACCGAAATTTAAAAATTAAACGAAATATAGCACACAACCTTTAGTCATTTCTCACTCTTTCACAACTTAGAAAACCCCCATCAAACTCAATTTTGACTTTTCAATTTAAGTAACTCTCGTTTCTTACCCAATCTCTTGTTATTTTCATAACACCAGAAAGCAAACACTAATATTAGTAATCTCTCATCTAGAGATGACAACAAAACCCGAACCCACGGGTACTCATCCACTATTCACCGAGTTGGGTTGGGTTTGGGCATGGGTACCCGCCCCATGGGTACCCGCCCACACATATAATTACTTTCCCGATATATTTAATATTCTAAATAATATATCTTCTTTAAACAACTAATATTATTTATGTTTGTGGAGACATGTATAATTTGTTCTTTCTAATTGTTTAGAATGAAGTTGATATTATGGAGTGGAGAGTGAAGAAACTTATTTGACGAGGAAGAAGATTTCAATTAATCTTGTTGTTTATAGATGTTTATCTTTAATTTTGAACAAATTGTATTGATCATTTGCAGTTTGTTTGTATGTTCTAGATTGGTGTTTTTTGTATGAATAATTTGTATGAGAAAATTGATCTTAGACTTTTATTTTGAAAGAAATTTGTTATTGTAAATTTTTTACCACAAAAATCCATGGGTACCCATGAACCCGCGGATACCTAGCTGGTTGTGTTGGGTTTGAGTTTTTCAAACCCAACGGGTTTTACCCCGGGTTTTTTTGGCGAATAAACCCATGGGTTTGGGTTTGACAAAACCCGCCCCAACCCGGCCCATTGCCATCCCTACTCATCCTCCAATTCGTCAAATTAAAAATTACCAATGACAAACTTTTGAGATGTCACCTCTCCTTCATTCTCCTTATCCATATCTTAGCTCTAGGCAAACTCAAGACTCTTGTTTAGTCTCTTTGCTCTAAATTAAACAATCAAATCTAATTTATATATTTAATTATTAATTGCAAAGATAATTAATTTCATATTTGATAATACCGATTGGAATACCGAAGTACCGATTAAGATACGGAAATATTTAGGGATTGAAATTGGGATACCAAAAGTATTTAGGAATTTAAATTGAGATTGACTTTAAGGCATAATTCGATATTCAGAATTTCAGTATTTAGTATTGGGATACCAATACTGTACCGATTTCTATGCGAATGCCCAGTTTCTACTTGGTCTGCTCTTTAGATTATCAAACCAAATCATGTTCAATTCCAAAGGCCCCGTTGATACCACTATCGTGTTTCATCATGCACAGTAGCTTCTCCATAGCACTAGATATATTGACGCAGCAGATTACATTTGCAGAAAGATAGATTTGAACTTTTGCCAACAAAGCGAAGTCGGTGTCCGCTCATATATGGTTAGATTTGACCAAGTTCTGAACCTGTGTTCATCACAGAACTGTTGCCTTACCCATTCCCAAAAATCAGCCAATAAATATCCAGCTTCCGCCATGTGAATGAATCCATCAATAACGAGTCTCAAAATCATTGCCAGGCCCACTGCTGATCTGTAGATAAGCAGCAGCAATATCTTTCTCCATCAAAACCCTAAAAAACAAAACAAAACAACTCTTTTCTCCTTTACTCACTTGAGAACAAACATATCAAATGGATGATTCATTTCTGGCTTTTCCTATCATCTATATTCCTCTTGTATCCTTTCTGGAAAAGAAAACCTAACACACATAAAATAGAAGCTGCAACAGATTTCCCCGCTCCTTTCTCTGTGCAGCTCTAACCACGAGATGAAGGATATCAGATCACATGAGTAAGGGGAGTGTGTTCGGCAGAACGGAAAGAAGAAATGATTTCTCTATTTACCTGAAATAATGGGATTTTCTTACTTACCTTACATCGCACGTCAAGAGACTCCCGTCTTTCATATAACCCGTCGGCCATTCCCAAGTAGTGGAGAGGCATTAAGTAATGTAACTAGTCAAGGAGAAGCTGATCAGCGGGGACTTGACCGAAAATATCTGGACAGGAGTCCCACCTCCCTTTCTCTCTCGCCTCCCAGTATCCACCACCATAGCGGTATGTATCGCTTCCATTTTCCTTGGCAAACCAACGCGGTCTCCAACCCCTCTCCTGCATCTTCCGTGCCTGCAAAACCCAAAATCCGGCAAGTTGATTAGCACAACCAACCAGGGACAGAACATCCCCATACTATGTTCACTAACATAAATATATTGCATGGCCTAAATACGTTAAACGACATCCATTATCGTATCATTCATTTCTCTATACACATTTGTAATCAAGTTACACGAGGAGGGGTCCCATTTCAGCTTCTGATTCAAAGAGATCTCAATTGCAGTTTATCTTTACCTGGCGCTGGCGCTGTTCCAGCCTCAACTTCTCAGAATTCGCCATCTCGAACTCCCCATTTTCTAAGTACCTTTGATCGGGCCTTAGCCTTGAATCTGTTGGTGGCAACTTCTCCTGCAAACCAAGAACACAATAGAAAAAGAAACCCCATCAACAACCCCTCCCACTGTCTTATTTTCAGGAAGTTGGAAACAATGGAACTTCTATCCCGGAACAGAATCATGAGAAATCACCTTGAGCCCTGGGATGAGCTCATTCAATGTTATGGCGAAGCGGGTCAAGTTATATCTAGTAGGGATCTTTGGTGGGCTGCTTCGTCTCCACAGTGTATGAGCTTCTTCCAGTGGCTCGAACCCTTTGCCCTTGCCGCCACCAAGAACATAATGCATGCTCTCGTCCCATTTCCCAAATAGAGTTGCTACAGTTTTCCCACTCCTATCCACTACTACTCCTTGTACCTGTCAGGGAAAAGCCACCAATAACGTATGTAAATTAATTGTCCACCAACTTGATGTATTTTTTAATATGTAAACTAACAAGGAACCTACTCTAACCATCACAAATTACATTCAGGATACTTCCTATGCTCGTGCACCCTAAGACTCAAGACACATCCACGTTTCTAATACTTGTGAACCCACAGAAAGTCACATTGATTTATAACCCATTGTCACTTGATTTTTATGATTTTTTTCCAGTCTTGAAGCGGATACCTGGTGAGGGTTTCTGTCTATGATAGATTGCTCCTTAAACTTCAGCTTACACGAAAAGTCTCGGTTTCCTTCTATACGCATTGTACCGTAATGGTCACAGTATAGCTTCCCCAGTATCAGATTGTATATTGACGTTGTAACCTGCAATCGATAGTGAAACATGCAATTCACAACTTAACAATCAAGGTACAGTTTTTTATCAAATCCCAACAGGATATATTCAATTATAGTGCTTATCTCACCTTAGACCATTGGAAAACTTCTCCGTCATCAAATTCCAATGTCAAAAGACCCTCAGGATCAAGTTGTATAGAGCGACCCCAAAATTTGCTTTTCAAATTGCTGTCTCCCCAAAACTTCCATCCTGTCCCCTCACAGTGACATGCTACAATCATTGGATGGTGACTGACCTGGAAAAAGAGTAACAGACAACTGATACTGGCATTGCTCTTCATCAAATAGATGAACATTATGCTACCAAAGATGCAAACAGGAGAGAAAGATATCACTTGTCCAAGAAAAAGAGAGAATGATTATGGCTAGTGAGACTTTGGAGTTCAATCTGAATGTTGCAGGGAACTCCCTTATTGTGCATTTTGTTCCTCTTAATCCTTGATATTATCACAGCAAATCAAAAGAAGTGTGGAATATGGACACATACCATTCTTCTGAATCCTTCTACTCAAATGTGAAAAGATTAGAGGCGCAGAATGAAAAGAAATCATCGTTGTTTTATTAGAGAAACCCAAACCTTCACAGGCCAGGGCATTATGCAATGCTTTAAAAAGCTTTGGATATAAAAGACAAGAAATTTAGATTAGATTCAAATTCACATGACATGAAGCAAACAGAAAATTTGAACTGAGATTGGTACTGAACAGAATATGTAACAGTGAATGAGTTTCACCTTCTCGGAGAAAAAACGAAGTCCTTTATCAGGAAAATCAGCCTCGTATGTTTCACCTAACAGTGGATTAAACGGTTTGCATATTCTTCCTTCTGTTGAGGCATATCCAGAAACTGCGAAGGCAGCTACATTAAGAATCCTCATCAGACTGTTACCCTGGCAAGGAAAGGAGCTATTAGATGCATACAGCACTTACTGAAGGAACCTAAGCCATTAACTCACCAAGCGAAAAACACAAACAATAAGTATAAATGGAAAAAACCGAGAATGAATGATATGATAGGTATATACATAAACTATGCTGGCAAAAAAAGGACATTATAAGAGGTGAGATTAGAAGACGGGGTCCCACTATCCCTTTGAATTAGTGAATACGGACAGTTCAGAAAGGCATGACAAATTAGACTTGGTGAAATAAACTTGATTTTCTAGTCTAAAATAAGGATAATTGATTAAGAGACCATTGTCGCGTGCTTCAATTTGCATAACCACCCGAATGATACCATCATGTTAAATACCATTATGGTAGGTGAAAAGAAACAATCTGTCACTAGATGGAAAGCTCAATTCTTTATGGTTCCCATATGGTGGCACCCTCAAGAAGGAAAATGTTCAAATACCAAGAAAAGATAAAAAAGTAAAACCGACCTTTCTTCCCCATTCACAAGCTCTGTCAATGAGGTGAGAGTACTCCAGATCTTCAAAACACTTCTGAAGAGAGGAGAGAGGCTCATTGAAGTAAACAGGTAGACAGACTTTTGTGAGGTCCTTCCCAATGTTATCCTTAATCATTGACCAAAGACTGACACCTTTTTCCTTTTCAATTGGATCTGGTAACTTTTTACGGCGCTTAATATGAGGATAATTAAGACCAGTAGACTTAATTGAAGAGTCAATCTCATCATCTGGCTCAAGAGCGCGCAGTCCTTCATCTTCTGAAGAGAAAGAAGATGTCCGGTAATCAGATCCATTGCTTTTGAAAGAACACGATGACAGAAAGTCACGAGTATCGAAAAAGGTATTCTCCTCATCATCTGTTTCCTCCTCAGCAGCACCTACTCTTTCATTATCATCATCAGATCCACTTGCACTGGCATCTGAAGAGAAATCAGAAACATGAAGTTGTGAAACCACACTGCGTGTTCTTTAGGCCAACAAAATTTTCAAAAAAAAAAATGTTCAGGTCCATCACAGTTGCAACACACACAAACGGAAAAGGAAGAGATGGGCGCAAATGGCCAACCATACAAAGGCAACAAAATGATAGACTAAAAACATTGAAGGCAAAGCAAAAAGCTTCTAAATTGACCTTTCACGAGAAACTACCGAGAGAGAAGAAGCATGTATATCAAAATGACCTCCCTGTATTATGAATGCTTTATGCACGAGAAAACCCACATAATGAATCATTCTATATCAACAATCTCACTTTTCAGATGACTATTCGAGGTTGGAAACTTCTAGGGCTAAAGATTAGACTTCATGCTACAAGTAACTTCTGAAACTAATATTTGAGGTTTCACACTGATTGCTAGTACTAATATGATGAAAAGTATGCATAGCAAGATTGACTTAATTCTGCAGCAAAGTATGCATACCACTAAACTTGTCTTGAGTTGTCCTAGATGATGTACCTTGATCATTCTGTCTTTGGCTCTCATCAACAACCGTATTCTCCAAATCAACTTTTTCTGTCTACAAAAGAGTATCAAATGTGGTTCCTCAGAAGAATAGGCGACATGAAAGATATGATATTTCAACAGTGCAAAAGCAAACACAATACAGTATTGCATATAAATGAAGAGAACCACTTTCATCTCTGTCCTAGTCTAATTAATAGTCTCTTGACAGAACAAGCACTTCACTAATGTTTGGCAAGGAGAATGTATCTAGATTTACCTTTATAGGTAATCCATTTCTAGAAGAAAAACTAAGGGTTTTCTTCCATAGAGGATTAATACTTATAGTAATGGAAGTAAACTTCTGATCTTAACTACAGCTCTCAGGTACCAGGTGAAGTAAAATTATTAGTCCATAAAATCAAATAAATTATCTAATGTAGGCTAAATTTGAGATAAGTCTTCCATATCGCATCAAGCTGAATAATAATCACTTAGCAATTCTGAGTATGCAGAATACACGAAAATTTATGCCATCTCTAGTTATTATGACTCGGATATCTACATCACTCTGAAAGTCCAATAGACTGAACTGCCAATCCCAACTCGACTGAGTCTACTGCAATCACCAGGAATATCCAGCCCACCAGTCCAAGCAGCAAGGATGGTGACCATAGTAGCCTAGATCAATTGTTGTGGCACAATCAGCCAAAACTTCTATTGCAACACCAAACCGTGTCCAGAAGGTTGACTTCTCTTCTATCAAAATTTTACTTGAGGGAGCTGTTAAAAGAGGCCAGCACAACAACGAATCAGCTTTCGAAGAGCATCGTTACCTTGTCCTACATGTAAGGTAGCTACTACCCACAAGTTGAGACAAAATTCATGTTTGATTATATAAGCACTTTCAAACCATAGATGGGAACTATAGGAAAACTCCCTCCATTCTGACTAGAAAAGGTTGGTGTCTTCACCCAAAAGAATTTGGTGTTCCAGACATAACAGTAGATGAACTTTATCAGACAAGCAAAGCTAGCATATCCCCAGTTCCATAATTGCCAGGCATGACCACTCCAAACTATTCCCGGGCAATCACGCTCTGTCCATGTTCCACACATTACTAATCCTATTTTCACAAAAACTTCTATACATACTATCTACAAAATAATCAGTGAAATCATTCTCAAAGCGACCCTGCCTTCTAAGACTGTTATTTACTAACATCATCTCATAAACTAAGAAGAAAGGCAAGGACTTCACTCAATTCTTGTCAAAGAAGGAAACGCAGAAGCATAATAAGAGGTAGAAGTTCTGAATTCGATTGCCATGGTCAATCCTACTTCTCGTTGCGTGTTACCTCTAACTGCCGCAGTGTTTCAATGAGTTGCCAATGTTTCTGCTTCAACAGAAGCATCTGGTTCTGCAAAGCTGTGAACTCACTCATCATGATCTGCTCACTCTCCTGAATCACCTCTTCCCTAACACCCTCTTCTTCAAGCCTCCGCCTCAGCTTTTCCGTGGATACAGCCACGGTTTCCACGGGAGCCATTAATTCACTGTTAGATATCCTAGGGAACATGTCTTTGACCGCCTGCAACGCCTCCATCCATGCCAAACGATCCTCCGTCGTCTCAGCTCTCAGATGGAGCCGCTTAGTCCCCGTGAATATCGAGAACCTCTTGTCATCCGATCTACTCTCTCGGATCGTGGACACCTGAATTTTTCAGTACAAATTGGAGTTCTCTAGATAAGCAAACACTCGTTCAATTAATAAAACTACCACGGAGAGAGATAGAGAGCAGCACAGTAATAATACCTTGAGATGAACTTCGCCAACAGGATTCCGCCTCTGCTGGTTGGGGGTTCCATTCTCGGCCTTGGAAATCCTCCTGACGGACTCTTCCCCAATGACTTTGCATCCTTTCTCGGTCTCCAGATTGACGGCGATCTTATCAGGCCCGTGAATCTTGTAATAGGACAGCACGCCGTCCTGCAAAACGAACCACCGCGGCCTCCAACCTTTGCCGTAGTTCACCCACTTGTACAGAATCCCGGAAATCCCGTTCCCTACTATGTCGTTGATCTTGACATCCACCGGCTGCTCCCTCCCCGACGCCGAATTGGCGAGGGTAGATATCCTGTGGCTGTTTCTGCCGACGTTGCTGATGACCGAATCTATGGAGGCGGTGGCACGGTGGTGGTGAAGATGATGATGATGATTTTGAAGATGATCCGCCAAGTGAATGTGGTTCGGAGCTGCGGCGGGCGATCGGGGCGTCGGGTCGGATCTGGCGGTGATGGCCATGGGAAGATCGGGCAGGGGATTCGCGGTCGGGGAGTTGTCTGATACAGTAGAAGTACAGCTGAAAGGATGCATGAAGGAGGAGAAAAAAAAAATCAGAGAGAAGCAATCGAGTCAACGCAGTAAACAGCGGCGGCGGCCGCCGTTGGGACGACGGAGAGCGCAAATGAAGAAAGAGTCATGGTGATAGAGTCCACGTATATCACGGCACCGAGAGAAATATGGAGAGATAAAAGACTCGATATCCGCCGAAACGGCAGAGATGGAAGAGCCAGAGGGATTAGATTCCCGCCGGCGATATTTGGATTGGAGGGAAGACCGACGGAGAAAGAGGCGGGGCAGGGGAGGGAAAAGGAGTTCCGGATGGTTATGGTTGCGGGAAGAGGAATATGAAAAATGAAAAAAAATGAAAAAGAAAATTGCATTTATTAATTATTAAATCGCAGATGAGAAAGAAATAAAAACAAAAATTAGTTCATAGTTGTTGCCAACGATCACAAAATACACTTTGCCTTCTCACTTCCATATACAACAGGACAACAAAAAAAACAAAACAAAAAAAACTCCAAACCTTTACTATTTCTCCAGTTTCATCAAACATCCCTCAATCTTACCGCAAAGCCTGGTCATGTCACCAAGAACCCTACGCTGCTGAACCCGTGATGTCAACAACTCAGGAGCCACTGGAGCACTGAGCAGCTGCTGGAGTTCACTGCAGAACGTAGTTGCCTCGTGGTCGCCTGAACATGCTTCAGCGACGAGTTGAAGCAGCTTGAAGCCTTGTTGCTCGGGCAGTGGAGGCTGCGGAGCAGCAGCAGGAGCTGGTGGGGGAGCAAGGAAGGGGTGTTGAAGTAGCTGAGGGATCCTCCACCTTTCGTCGCGATCCCAAGTGAGACACTTCTTCATGAGGTCGAGCAGCCAAGGATTGGAGACGGGTTCGTAAGTTATCTCATGATTCGGGTCGGTGATGACCTTCAGTTTCGACCAGAAGGCTGTGTACTGGGAAAAGGGCGTTCTCCCGTATACCATTTGGTACAGTATGCAGCCGAGTGACCAAATGTCTGATGATCGACCGCACTTTATGACGTTTCCGTTCGAGTCTAACTCGTTGCACAGGAATGCCTCCGGGGACATGTAGCTGAGAGTACCTACCTGCAGTCAAATGACGACACACCAACAACAGCTCTTCACACTGGTTGCCAATATTGCAGTTTCTAAAGAAGCAATCTTTCTACTTAAATAGTACCCCGAAACAGGTTAGAGAAAGGGTTGCTTCAGAGCAAGATAAGAACATAGCTCTTACATCAATCTACAGCAAAGGGATTCATAAAAAGAAAATCTTAACAGCAAAGGACTTCTCCGAGAGGAAGTGATCACAGAGGGATTTTGTAATTCATTAATGTCTGTTCTTCGCATGTCTGTTAGTTCAACCCATTCATTCATTGTCATGACTTTCACTCGGTTTGCTTTGGCAAACATATCTAACTTAACAATTTTTTTGACTGCAGAGTTAAACTCAACACATTTCTTCACTCTTAACTTCTTAATACAAATATTCATTGTCTCAATGAATCCTAAAAATAATACCCAAATCCACACATTTCTTTAGTATGATTTATGAATCAAATTATCTACCATCATTGGTTACTAAAACTTAAAAAGAAGTTTCAACACACAAGCAAACACATGTTTAGTCCCTTTTACTAAAACTTAAAAACAATTTCCATATTTTTTAGGAAACCCTGAAACAAACACTCGTTTAATTTCTTTATAAAAACAACATTGCACCAACAAAACCAAATGAAAGATCATCAAGTCCTAAATAAACTTAGGTAGTGCACCATCAGGCCAGTAGAATGGAACAGGATATGCTGGATGAAAAGAATAAGTGCACTTATTCTTCAGGGATATTCAAACTAAGGTTTCTATTGTTACAGCTTACAGGCTCAATAATGTTTCAATTGTTAGATAACCCTAATACCCAATATCTTGCAAGTGTTTGCCAGAGCAATTTGTAGATACCAGGGTTGCAGCAGAACATTTACCTGAGAGTCCCTCTGGATGTTGGTTGTATCACTCATGATTGCTTTGGCAATGCCAAAATCAATCAACTTTAGAGAACCTTTAACAAGAAGGAAATTGGCTGGCTTCAGGTCAGAATGCACTATACGCTCATCATGGATGGTTTTAACAGCAAGAAGTATTTGCTGCAGGACATTTAAGAAAAACAAGAAGCAGAAAATCTTAGTCTCCATGATGGGAAGAAAGACTGGCTAGTGCACCCTAATATGGATAACTTCTTTTATTTTCACGTACGATGACAAACTTCATCCCATACTAGATGAATTGATCCAGCCAAAGCCAACAATGATCTATAACAGATAATATATAAACACGGGTCATGATTAAACTAGTTAGAAGAATAACGAGACAAAGGGTCATAGCATTGTGGGATTGGAAGACACGGAAAATCATTAAGGATATGATAAGCAGCCTTAAAATGCAGCTCACTTACCTGCCAGTAGAATCTAAGCCAATTATGATCTATAGTCTGATTTGAACCATCCATTTCCTTCCATTTCTGGGACAGCATGTGAGCCAAGTCAATTTCCCCATACTCAAGAACCATATATATACATGCATCATCCTTTACTTTGCCATCTTTGTTACTGATGGAACCATTGACCACGTCCTGTAGCAATTTCTTATCTGTCACCTAATTTCAAAAGTGAGTATTAGCCATGCCAAAAACCGAAAGCACTGAAGCAAGAACAAATTATGCACCCTAGCCAGAAAATGGGATTATTTTTTGTCAATCAATCCTCGCGGATGATACAGGTAAGAGCAAGGGACTGCCACAACTATTACGACACTCCCTCACAAAGACTTAGACTCGTAAAAGATAAGAAAAATGAAACAAACTAGACGGTAGGCCATAAATTTAGTGGGAAGAAAATCAGAAAGCATAAGACGGATCAGTTCTGCCATAAATTTACTTTTGGTTTACAATGCTAGTGATTTGCAAAAACCAAGCAGAGGTCAATAATACTACTAGATCAGAGAGATAAAAGCCAAAATGAATTTTGAACTGAACGGTAGTCAGGAAAAAAGTGCCTTAGCAGGCCTAAATGAACTAGAAGAATAGTCAAGATTTTACCAAACACTTTGAGGCCCAAACATTTCGTACAAATCATAATACCAAATTCTAAAGCTTCAAGACACGTACCTCATAGTTTATCAGCTGTATGATGTTGTTTTTTCCCTTCAGCTTGTTTAGGTACTCAATTTCCTGACAAAACCCATACGCTGTTGCATAATCACGTCCTCTCAGTTTGATTTTCTTAAGTGCATAGATTGCACAATCAGCAGAAATTACTTTGTGAACCTCACTGCTTCCACCACTACCAATCTTACCAAGTTTCTGATAGCGGGTACCATTAACTACAAAGAATGCTTCAGGGTCATTATTTCTCTTACGATGACCTGATGTGCCCGTGCGGGTAGTAACCTTTTCTTGATTTCCAGTTTTCTCCAGCTTTACATCTAATGAAGGATTTGTAGAAATCTGGCTCTCAAAGTGTTCATTAGCAACAGAACCACATGATTGTCCCACCTTATTCACCTTTTCACCAACATGAATAGGATTACCCAGAGCCCCACTTTCCTTTTGGACCTTCTGTTGACCCTGAAGCAGCTGATATTCCTCAACTTTTGCGTCTGCAACACAACTAGAAGATTGGACAGAAATGGCTGCATTGTCAATTAAGATCCTACTTGAGCCCTTCACCAAGGAATTTGAGGAATCCTCCAAATTTGCTTCAACTGTACGCAGATAATTTATATGACCTTCTCTCAGGGGTTCAATTGCCACATGAGAACCACAACCTAGAAGTGTCTGTGAACTGTAGGTTGTGGAGTTTAGTTTTGGCGCTGAAGTAGAATGAACAGATGTGGTGGTGGCACATGATGTACCTACAACTGAAGATTGAGTAGCCGGTTGGCTTAAAAAGTTTCTCCATTGATGCGATTGATCCTTGATAACAGTTGCTGTGTTTGACGAAAAAGATAAGGCAGCATCAGACTTGCCACCGGCATCATAATCCAGGTTCTGAAAGTTCAGATGCTTGGGTTCATCATGGATAACATTCAATACTTCCAATCGATTGCCTACATCCCATTCCATTTCTGTCAATGCAAGTGAATTCAAGTGAGAAGACAAGTTGTCCAATACATCGGTCACTTGATCATTGGTCTCTGAAGGTTGGAAAGAAGGTATAATCTTGTCTCCAGAGTCCAGACCACAAAAAGAAATCAGATTGCTTTGTGAGGCAAAAGTGTAAAAATGCAATAGAGAGGAAACTAATCATTCTAGAATTACTTCATGATCACATACAACCGAGGAAGTTAGACAAATACAAAAGGAAGCTGAACTTATCTCTTCCTGAATGGACAAAAGATTTCAAAGGAAGAGTATATTACCCTGGGTTGCACCGGTCTTAGTCGTACCAAATTGTTCGCTTCTTTTCGTAATATCATGTTTAGGTTCCACAAGAGATGCTGACAGGGGCCTCGAGCTATAGTCCTTAAAACGAACTGCAGGTTTTGGCTGTTCTCTCTGTACCTCGATCGACTTGAAATTCTGATCAAAAGGTTTAGATATGGTTTCTGAAATGGAAGGGGCTGCAACTGATAAATCTTCCTGAATTTCTCGAACACTCGCATCTGGGTTCTCAATTGCAGTTTGATCCTGACTCAGTGAAGCGAATTCATGGGAGCCGGTGCTGATCCTGGGCATCACATTGGCAGCTGAATTTCTAATTGGCTGTCGTTGCACGCGTTGGGCTCTGATACCATCTGCCTGCACTGTACCTACAATAAAGATACGGGAAGCCATTACAGAAATGAAGTTACAGACGACATTTCCTGCCGATTCTAACTAAACCCTAATTTTCCGTCTGTACTAGAAGAGACAAAATTGGGGCGGAAAGGTAATAGAGCACGAGGGATTCACATAAACAGCTTATTGCAGAGGGAGCTAGCTAGACGTAGAGAGGATACTCGTACCGAGGGAGCGGTGGCGCTTGAAAGCAGCTTGAACATGCCGGAAAAGGGACGGCTCGGCGGAGGAGGAGGAGGAAGAAGAAGAAGAGGTGGTTTCCGGGTTGGTAATTGGGCGACGGATGAAATTCCTAGTGGCCACATGAGCAGTTGGTACCGGAAGTTCAGCCTCCCGGTCCATTTGCCGATCCGGGCGGCATTTCCTTCCGGTGACGGAAATTTGGGTAACTATAGATAGAAGACGGCTGAAGAAGATCAGTCGGAGTTGCAACTGCCCATGCTCAAAGGATGTGAAGAATAACTCACAATCGAGAACCGACTGACGGAGAGAGCAGTGATGTTCTCGTTGCGGTCGCTGAGAGCGTGGAGCTCAGCTGCTGAGGGGCGATGGCGGCAGGGAATCCTTGCAGTTCGGACAGAGAGATGAGAGAGGGGGAGAAGTTAAAAAAAAAAAAAAACTTTTGAATTGGCTCAATTGGCGCTCGGCCAGGGAATCCTTTCTGGGCCCATCATCGGCCTTCTCCGAACCAATGTAAAGGCTTTGAAGCCCAAACATCAATACGAAGCTAAGGCCATCTATGGGCTTGCTATTTCTACACGGTGTGTCGGTATGGCTGCAAATGAGCCGAGCTGCTCGTGAGTGACTCGGCGTTTGACTTGAGAAAAACTCGTTCGAAATTTGGCTCGTTAATAAACGAGCCGAACATTAACTAAACTTTGTTCAGCTCGTGAATCTCGCGAGCTAGCTCAACTCGGTGGCTTGTTGAGCTAAATTCGTGAGCTAGCTCATTTAGAGGAGGGTTAAGTAATTTATAAAATGACTCATTTATAAATATGACTCATTTTGTTTTCAGTTAATAAACGAGTCATTTGACACTACATGACTTTTTTTATTAGGGTGATATAGGTTAATTAGTTTTTGTTGTTAGGTACTATATAAGATATTCGAATTTGAGACCTTTAAGTTCAAAAATTAGTGACAGTAGTATTACCATTAGACCAAACCCTTATCGGTCACTTGACTCAATTGAGCCATCAAACTTTAACATAATGCTACATGGGGCAGGGAAATTTATAGGAAATAAATAACACAGCTTTACTCGACATATGGAACGTACTTTGGCGTTTGAGGCAAAAGGAATACTGCAAAAGGCCACTTTTTTTTCGTTGAATCAAAAGACCACTTTTAATCTTTCCAAATTACAAGGTTTCCTAATGCCGTTGGATTTATAATCCTAGTGGCAAGATTAATCATTTCAAAGTTCATCGTCCACTCATTGTAGACGATTCTTATGTATTTTTCAAAATGACAGATCATCGGTAAGTCAATTGATTTATGGATTTTTAAAAACTTTTACTTAAAATTATAAAATATGTGAATAACAACCGTATATATTGAGCTCGTAATAGTCTTTTAAATTTTTTATGTTGAGGTAGTGACATGACGGGTTGACTAGCAGCACAAACGCAAAACAAACCAGAGGCGTCGAGGCAGTGATGATAAGAAGGAGAAAATATAGGACCAACAACACTATAAGAGAGTGCTAGCGGTAGACATCGAGAAGGAAGACCCTAACAGAAGACTGAGATCAAACACGTTCCTCAGTTAGAAAAAGTCCAAAGGACCGGGTGGTGATGTTTCAACGGATCCGTTAAACTTCTGATCGCAAAATTTCTGTGGTAGATTATGCATAAAGATAATATAAACGATTACTACAGTAACTTTATTAAAAAGAGCATCAAGACGGATGGATGAAAAGAAGCAATTAAGTTAAGTCCGTCGAACTTTAATGTAATGCATGGCAACATTGGGCAGGGAAGCTTATAGGAAATAACACAGCTTTACTCGACGCCATATGGAACGTATACTTTGGCGTATGATTTTGAGGCAAAAGGAATCCTGCAGCTTTCCCCCATGCATATCCTTCAAAGACTGCAAAAGAACACTGTAAAAATAAAAACACAAAACTGCAAAAGGTCACTTTTAATCTTTACAAGTAAAGCAAGTCTTCAAATTGCCGTTGGATGTATAATCCTAGTGGCAAGATTAATTCCACATTTCAAATCCATCGTCCAGTGGTTGTATACGATTGATTGTTTAGTCGTTTTTCAAAATCACGATCATCGATAAGTGAACGCATAAATTTGAAATCTATACTAGTTATCTAAAGGTTTGACATGAACTAATTGATCCCAATAATTTAAGTTGACGAACAATGTTTAACTTTTATTTGTAACAAAATATTTTCAATTATTAATCTTATATCAGTTACTAACGTTAATGATTAGGATACATAAAAATAATGATTAGTGCGTATGTTATCGTCAAGCTTTATCAGTGAACACACTCTTTTAATTAACATGGTCGCCCAATCAAATTAGTTATGTGGTTCGCAGAGAATGGTTAACCAATGATACGAGTATGGAACCGGTACTCGTAGTTATCAGAGTAAAACAACTAAGAACATGAATAAAATATAGGGATAAAGAAGAATTGAAGTGCAATCTCACACCTGGGAGAAGGCTCTATCGATATAAGGGTAGAATCTCGACCACAATCAAGATAGATGCTTGATTGATACAGAGACACACTCAACGCGATTGGAGTCCACCTACGGCGAGAGCAAAATTCACAAGGCATAAACTTGATGAACTAGGGTAAAATTTCAATAATAATCAAAGTCTCATAAAATTCGTGTTTACAACACTTTAAATAGGGCTGGAAAATAAAACTAATCAAAAACCCGAAATTGATAAGATCAATTCTCCTTTCTCCAGGATCGATAGAGTAGGTTTGTATTGATCGATTATCGTTCCCTAAGGTAGTGGTATCCCCATCCAATCCTTCCGGGCTGGATTTTGCACATATAATTTCTAGAATCGGACACTACAAATTAAATGTCACCGACGACTGCAGTTTACCCAATTCATGCATGTTTTCCACAAGAAGGTCATCGCTTGATAGATGAGACTCCAGAACACCTCTTGTGCTCTAGTAGCTATTTCTGTGACAACTATTGTTGTCGATGATTTCTTTGCTTCCAGGGCCTTCGGCTCCTCTTCATAGGCTCATTCCAATGGCTTATTATCTTCATCAACCTCTTCCGACGATAATGGCTGCAATGCAAATTTCTTTCTATGATCCCTTAAGACGATGTTGTTGGTATTGTTGCTTCGTCGTGCTTGGCGATCATTGTTCCATGGTTTACCCAGCACCACATGACTAAGCTTCATAGGCACAACATCACAAAGAATATAATCCACATAGGCCTCAATTTTGAACTCTAAAGACACTTGTTCAACCACAAAAATAAAGGCCTTTTATGTTGACAATTGCATAAAGAAAGGGCTAGGATGTCGTTGTGTAGATAGCCCTAACTTAGTTACTTCCCTTGATCAAATTGGAATTGATCTCTCCATCAAATACCACAGAACACAATTTCTCTTGCACCAAGCAACGAGTGTAGAACAAGTTACCTTGTGGCTCCAACTCTTGCGCCATTGCAGAGCATCAAGAAAGCTTGTGATCTTCTTTTTCTTGCCACTAATTTGAACCAGGATGTGATACCACTTGATACGAGCACGAAACCGGTACTCGTAGTTATCAAAGTAACACATCTGAAATCAGGAATAAAAAATAGGGATAAAGCGGAATTGAAGTGCAATCACACACCAGGAAGAAGGATCTATCAATACAAGGGTAGAATGTCGACTACAATAAAGATGGATGCTTGATTGATACATTGATACACTCAACGCGATTGGAATCCACCAATGATGAGAGAAAAATTCATAAGCAAAAAAATTGATAACTAAGGTAAAATTCTGATAATAATAATAATAATAATAAAAGTCTCCAAAAATTCTCAGTTAGGAAGGTATGAAATTCTCTGAGACCAACTCAGCAAGAATCAGCATTGACACCACTTGTTGTGAAACAGGCAGCACATTCCTAGATTTAGTTCATCGCTTGGTTAGTCTTCAGGAATGCCAAAGGATATACTTTACAAGTGGGGAAATTAGCTCAGTATCAGTGGCGGATCCAGAACACAAAAGAGCACTGGGCCGCATTTCATTAAAAAATTAAAATCGTAAACAAATATAATGATTTTTTTGCAATATAAATTGTACACTATTGTATTTTAATTTAGCGAATGCAACAATTATGGAGTCCACATCCATACCAATAGTATAAACTGTTTCAAATAAAATACTTGAGCAATCCGCGAGAAATTCATTACTCAATTTATTGCGCAAATAAGTTTTTACACATGTTTCATTTTTGAAAAGTTCTCCCGGTAGTAGCTGTTGAAACGAGCAGCGTGAACACTAGACAAATCAATTGTGCATTGTGTGTTCATCCCTAGATTCCAACTACTCTAGTAGATTTTCAAGGGGAAAAACCTCATATTTCTTCTAATCTTTTACGTTTTAGACTTTTAGATTTCATTGTTTTTCTAGATGAATAATATTTGGGGCTGGAATTTCCAGTCTAAATAGAATAATGATTGAAAATGTTAATTTGAATTATTTTCTTATTTATACCTAATCTTATTATAAAATAACAATGAGCTGAATATCTAGTATCGAAAACTTCATAAGTACTACACTAATGCCGGATCCAGAGGAGTGCGATGGAGAAGGAGAATCCAAAAAAGCATCTATTTTTCAGCGTCCTTTCTCTGCTCAGGTGGCCTATTGTGGAATTGGACTTACATGGTTTCATCAATCGACCTGGGAGGACTCTCTTGCCACTGCTAGTACTCGAGCAAATCAACACAAAGTAGAGAGTAGAGTTGGTTCTTTGCTATGGTGTGTTGTTGTATCCCATATATATGGTATGAGCGATGTAAACTACTTGATGGTGAGAAGAAAAACTCAACCGAGGATGTGATCAAGCGACTTAGATATGACTTGATGTGGATCAAGCGATTCATCGACAAAAAATAAACTACAAAGAATAATTAAAGATTTATTTCCATCATCATGGTCCATGGATCTATGGAGCAGATCCGGTGAGTAACCTTGTGGTGAGTAATCATGAGTAACCCGTCCACATCAACATCATCTCTCTCTCCTGGAAATCATTTAATTTTCTCCTCTTTAATTTTTGACGGACGATTTCTCACTCATTTTAAGCCGAAAATTTTTTTTTTTTTTTGTACAGTTAGATTAGATTAATCGTGCTCTTCAAAATTATATCCACTTTAATATATTTTTCGAACAAAAAAAATTGAGCCATTTTTTACCAGTCTATACCATATGGTATTGACTGGTATTGAAATACAAGCATACCTATGGTTTGAAAAAAGTACTATGGTGGTATGAACAAACCAAGACTGTAGGATGGTTGAATACATGATAGTAGAAATATATTAATTATCATTTATGAATTTTAACATTGTATACCACAAGATACCACCCCGTACCAGGGTGGTATTGTATGGTATTGTGTGGTATTTTTTTGTCCTGTAATTTGTTCACCCATAAATTTGTAGATACAATAGATCATGATGAACTCGTCCCTTCTGTGCAAACGTTTTCAAAAACGAATTAAAAACGAAGAAGATACCATACAATACCACCCCGTACCAGGATGGTATTGTATGGTATTGTGTGGTATTTTTTGGTCCTGTAATTTGTTCACCCAGAAATTTGTAGATCCAATAGATCATGATGAACTCGTCCCTTCTGTGCAAACGTTTTCAAAAACGAATTAAAAATGAAGAAAATACCATATGGTATGCAGTTGGTACCGAGAGGCCAGAATTTTTTGTTCTAAAAAAATATTGAAAATTGATCTCATTTTGTAGAGCACGATGAACTCGTTCCACCTGTGCAAAAAAAAAAAATTAAAATCCGAGTTAAAACGAAAAAGATATGAGCCGATTAAGAAAACTAGAGAAAATAAAAATGATCTTTAATTCTCCATCCTTAGATCTGGATTTTCTAAATGAAGGGTCCAGATTTGATTATTAATAGATGCATAACCCATGGTTATGCACCCTACCTTTAGCCCATGAATCTATATTAACTGGTTTCCTTTTTACCTCACCAACCATTTTTTTTTTCTAATTTAACCTTATCCTTTTTGGTTAATAAATTTGGAACATCCCCAATATAAATTTGGGCCAAATACACTTGTATAGTCAAAACTTTGACGGTTTTGCCAAATATAGCCACTTTTGGGAAAATACCAATAATAGCCACTTCCGTCCAATTCTTTGACGGTGTTAACCAAATAGCTGACTGGACTAACGGCATTGCTGAGGTGGTGGTGACATTTTTAAACAACATTGCCACATAGATTAATGAAAAACTTAATAAAAAAAAAAAATTGTCCAAAACCCACATCCCCTAAACCCAACTCCGTCTCTGTTTCAACCCCACATCCCCCAAATCATCAGCCTCTTCCTTCCCCTTCAAATCGAAACCCGTCAGACCACCTTCACCTTCGCATCATCTTCTCCAACCAGTTAACTCCCCCGAAATGATCTTCCCCTGTTACGCTGCTCGCCATCGTCTCCCACTACCGACCACCATCGATCCGCCCCTATGCCATCGCACCCAGATCTTCATCGTTGTTGCAGTATCATCATCGTCGTTGTCTCGGGCCCCGTCAATCTGTCTTCGCCTGCATCTTCGAGGGAGGAGTTAAGAAGAAGAAGAAGAAGAAGAAGAAGAAGAAGAAGAAGGGATGGATTTGACCGTCATCTTCCGTCGCGCGATCTCTCCCTCCAGAACCGTCGATTTGAGCTAGAAGAGAACACTCGATCATGGGTTTTTGAATGATAGGGTTAGGGGGGAAATCGATTCTGGGTTTTTGAATAATCGATTATGGGTTCTAGAACGATAGGGTTAGGGGGAAGTAGCGGCATGTTGGATTCTCGCTTTTGGATAGCGGGTGTTGGATTCTTGCTTTTCTTTCCGCTGGGTTTTTGCAGGGAGATACGACGGGAGAAGTTGCGGCATGGGATTGTTTTTGGAGTCGGAGTGCTGCTCGCCACCGGCGTCGTGTTTGCCTTCTCTGTCTCTGGTGAGAACAAAACAGAGACAGAGATTTCCGTCGGATGCTATGAGCCAGAGGGAGATCGTAGGGTTAGTATGTTGTCGCAGCGATGTTGGCAGGGTCGGTGGTGGGTTGAATCTGGAACGCTGTCGGAGTGGGAGGAGAAGATATGGGTTTGGGGTTGGGGTCGGTGGTGGAAGAAGAGGGAGAGGAAAGAGTTATTCGACGGCGAATGGTGGGAGAGGAGAGAGGATGATTATTTTTGTCATTATTTATTTATTTTTAAATTAAAAAATGACATGGCAAGTATTGTTGAGTTGTCAATGATGTGTCCAGTGAGTTGACAGCCAGGTAAGCGTTTGGTTAATTTGACTAACGGTGTTATTGACGTCGTCAAACTATGTAACGGAAATGGCTATATTTGTCATCGAACTTTCAAAATTCTGGCTATTTATGATATTTCTCCAAAAGTGGCTATATTTGTCACAAACGTCAAAGTTTTGGCTATACAAATGAATTTGGCTATAAATTTTTTCTTTTTGGAACTTCTCCAATTAACCTAAAAAAGTAAAAGTGCAAAAAGAAGAAAGAAAATAAGGTATGGAGATCTGTCTTCTCCTCTCCCTGAGCTAAAAAGTAAAACCACATGACCTCACCTGGGAATCATACTGTACACACAACGTACAGTCCAAATTGTTTTTAAGCATGGCCCTAATGAATTTCCTCTTCTTTTTATCTCAGCTCTTCACCAATCCCCTGATCTTTGCAAGGAGCAGGGACATCAACGGTCAGATTCCAACCATAAAGAAATCTGTATAAAACACCTCTTCTTAAGCATATACGTTTGGACTAAAAACCACCATTTATTCTCAAATCTCAACACACAATCCATCCAAAAAGCCTCTACACAGCTTCTCTAACCATCTCTGCAACCTTCTTCGTCTTGTTTTATAGCTCATGCATGAAGCCAGAAACTAAAACAACATAGCAAAGCAGTCTAAACTTTTGCTTTCAACAAAAATGGCGAATTGGAAATACCCAAGAAAACCCACCAAGAAAACGACACACAAGAAGAGGCAGCAGCAGAGCCAACAACAGGTCCAGAAATCAGAGAAGCCTCCGCCACCGCCGCCTTCATGGACAGTCATGAAAGGCATCTTCAGCTGCAGAGATCTCCAAACCCAACAACAGCAACAGCAGCAGAAGAAGAAAGATCAGAAACAAGAAGAAAACAAGCAGAAGAAGGCGCAGAAGCATAAAAAGCACCAGGAGGACAACAGCAGCAGCAGCAGCAGCAAGAAATGCAAGAAAATGAGGTGCTCTGTTTCACTATGCAACAACAACACTACCACCAAAATAGTTTCAGCTCTGCCCCCTAATTTGACCGATCTCGCAAACAATGGTGGCGGCAGCAGCAGAAGCGAGAGAGGCAGGGGAGGAAGTAGTAGTGGTGTTGTTTCAAGTTCGTCAATGGTGACAACAACAAACTCATTCAGGGGAATGCCATTCAGCCGATTCTCTGGCTGCTACGAGTGCAGAATGGTGGTCGACCCTGTTCTTGGCGGCTTCACCAAAGTTCCCAATTCCTTGAGAAGCCCCACCATTTGGTCTTGCCCTGATTGCCCTCACATCTTCATGAACCCACAAAGCTTGGAGCTTCACCAGGCCGTTACCCACGCTGGTAAAAATTCACTTTCCATTCTTTTCCTCTGCCTGTGAACAACAGTGAAACAGAGCACCTCATTTTCTTGCCTCTAAAATTGTGTATGCAGTATCTGAACTGGGAGCAGAGGACACGAGCAAGAACATAGTGGAGATAATCTTCCAGTCGAGCTGGCTAAGAAAGGAAGGCGGCGGCGGCGGCGGCGGCGGCGGCGGCGTTGCCCCAATGTGCAAAATAGACAGAATCTTGAAAGTCCACAACACGCAGAGCAGGGTGTCGAAGTTCGAAGAGTACAGAGATTCAATCAAGGCGAAAGCCACAAGTTTCCCCAAGAAGCATCCACGCTGCATTGCCGACGGGAACGAGCTGTTGAGGTTCTATTCAGCGAATTTCCGGTGCGCACTCGGGCTGAATGGTTCGTCGAACCTCTGCTGCTCGGCGGAAAATGTCGACGGCGGCGGCGGGTGCTGCAACGCGTGCAGCATTATTAGGGATGGGTTTGTCGGCGGAGGGGAGAAGGGGATTTTGACGACGGCGACGAGCGGGAGGGCGCACGAGGAGAAGGTGGGGGCGGCGGCGGCGGCGGAGGGGAAGAGGGCGATGCTGGTTTGCAGGGTTATAGCTGGGAGGGTGATGAAGAAGAAGATTGGAGGTGGAGGTGGAGTTGGGTCGATCGATGAGTTATTTTATGACTCGGTGGCGGGTGATAATGTCGGGTTGTATTCGAATTTGGATGAGCTCTATGTGTTCAATCCCATGGCTATTTTGCCTTGCTTTGTTGTTATCTATGGCGGATTCTAGTTTACAGGATGTGGAAAAAGGAAGAAAATTTTCCAATCGAAATGCAGATGTTTTGATGGGCATGGTTGATTGTGTTTAAAATAAACCTGTGTTTGTTTGATTGCGGATAGGTTGGGGATTCGCCGGCAGCAAGTGACGGCCGTCGGCCAGTCTTTGGCTTATTGATTGGAACATCCGGTGAGCAGGGGATAGAGCTAGGACTTTGCCTCGTCTTTTTCTTTCTGTTTACCAGACACAGAACATACAACTTTTTCTTTTTTCCTTTTCAATTCAGCAATAAAGGCGACTCAACAGCCTCTTCGACTCAAGAAATTGGTTTTGGTCTATATGTTGGAAGGTCAAGGATTGGATTGACAATGGTTGAGTGGATTTTGGGTTTAAATTGATAGAGTAAAGGGATATTATTGTTGTGAGGAAAACTAACTTGATCTCATTGATTATTCTGTAGCTAATTATACACGGTTGTACAACAGAAAGGAGTCCCACTCTCCTTAGAAGTAGGGGACGAGCAGTAGTGGGAGAGTGGAGAAATACAAAATAATTTATATTTACTAATTGTCCTTAATACGCCCCCGCAAGATGGAGGAGGTATCAACGACGCGAATCTTGGATCGCAGCAGAAGAAACCGAGTCGCCGGAAGAGGTTTGGTGAGTGCATCGGCCAATTGGTGAGCTGTGGGAATGTAAGAGACACGAAGACGACAATTTTGCACAAGCTGTCGAGCGAAGTGATAATCCAAAGCTAAGTGTTTCATCCTGGAGCGAAACACAGGGTTGGTACTAAAATAAGTAGCACCAAGATTATCGGAGTAGAGCACTGGAGGAGATGAGATAGGGAGGCGAAGCTCAGTCATCAGATTCTGAACCCATTCAAGCTCAGCAGCAGCATTGGCGAGTGCCCGATATTCAGCCTCCGTACTGGAGCGTGCGACAGTCCGCTGCTTGTGAGAGCGCCAGGAGATAAGGGTATCCCCAAAATAAAGAAGATAGCCAGAGGTAGATGATCGATCATCAGAATCACCAGCCCAATCAGAATCCGCAAAAGCCGTCAAGGAAAATGGGGCGGTCGAGCGTCTAATGGCAAGACCAAAGGTGAGAGTACCAGATACATAGCGGAGAAGCCGCTTGACACATTGCCAATGAGAAACCGTCGGAGCATGCATAAATTGAGACAGTTTATTGACCGAGTAGGCAATATCCGGGCGAGTGTAAACCAGATACTGAAGAGCACCGATCACCTGACGAAAGCGAGTAGCATCCGTTGGGGGGGAGCCATCGTCAAGGCGAAGAGAAACTGAGGCAGCCATGGGAGTGTCAACAGACTTGGCTTCTGTCATCATGAATCGCTGGAGAAGATCAACCATGTACTTATGTTGAGATAAGATGTAGCCTGTGGCTGTGGGAATGATCTCAATCCCCAAGAAATAGTTGACATCACCGAGTGCCTTTAGAGAGAAGCGCTTAGATAATGCCTGCTGAAAAGTAGAGAGCATGATAGGGTCGTTGCCAGTGAGTAGCAAATCATCAACATAGAAGAGAAAATAGAGGATAGTGGACCCATGGGAATAAACGAACAGGGAGGCATCGGAGGTGGTCTTGTGAAAGCCAAAGTCCTGGAGGAAATCACACAGAGTAGTGTACCATGCCCGTGGGGCCTGACGAAGGCCATAAATAGCCTTTTTGAGACGACAGACATGAGTGGGATACGCCGGATCAACAAAACCAGGAGGCTGAGCCATATAAACCTCCTCTGTCAAAGGACCTTGAAGAAAGGCATTATTGACATCAAATTGAGAAATGGACCAACCATAAGATAATGCCAGAGTGAAGATAATGCGAACCGTGACCGGTTTAACAACCGGGCTGAATGTGTCGGTGAAGTCAACCCCAGGACGTTGAAGAAAACCCTTGGCCACTAGCCGCGTTTTGAAACGCTCTATGGACCCATCAGAATGATGCTTGACCCGAAAAACCCACCGATTGCTAAGAACATTATAATGTGGAAGACGAGGGACCAAATCCCAAGTCTCATTTGCAAGCAAGGCAGAGTGCTCAATAGAGAGGGCCGAGTCCCACTCTGGATACCGCCGGGCCTCGTGGACATTTAATGGTTGAAGGGGAGGCGGCCCAGGAGACAGCTGGGTAGTGAACAAAATCTTCTTGGGCCGAAAAATGCCCCTCTGGGCCCGGGTAGTCATACCATGAGTGCGCAGCAAAGCAGGGGGCTGAGTGGGAGCAGCGGAAGTGCCCGCTGGAGTGTAAGGGACAGAAGGCAGATCAGTCTCTGCAAGCCCAGACGGGCCGGGCCGAGAAAGCCCAGGCGGGCAAGGGACAGCAGACACGGGCGGGCTGGCCATGGAGAGCCCAGGCAGGCCGGTTGATGCAGGCCCAGTGGAGGAATCTTGCAGGGAGGCGCCAGTGGGGGGGGGGGGGGGAAGTGTGGGCCGAGTGTGGTGAAGCCTGCACAGAGCTACATGGCAAGGTGAAAATCGTCGGGGACATGTCATATAACTAGGACTCGGACGAGGAGAGCATCGGAGATGGCTGAGCATGAAATCCTGGAAAGGCAGTCTCAACAAAAACAACATGACGAGAGTGAAAAAGTTTTTGAGTAGCGGGATCAAAGCAACGATAAGCACTGTGTTGTGGACAGTACCCAAGAAATATACATGGACGAGAACATGGATTGAGTTTGTGAGAAGAGTAAGGACGCAGCCAAGGATAACACAAACATCCAAAAACACGTAATTTGTGGTAATTGGGATTTAAGTTGAAAAGAATTGTGTAGGGAATTTTACCACGAAGAGCAGAGGATGGAAGACGATTAATGAGATATATGGCAGTGGAAAAAGCATAGGACCAGAAATTTGTGGGAAGACGTGCATGATGAAGGAGGGTAATACCAGTTTCGACCAAATGACGGTGTTTTCTTTCAGCAAGACCGTTGTGTTCAGGTGTATGAGGTGGAGTAAGCAGATGGGTAACACCATTAGCAAGTAAATCTGAACGTAATTTCTGAAATTCACCACCACCATCAGTATAAAGTTGACGAATAGTAGTAGAGAAAAATTTTTCAACCATTTTTCTAAAAGAGAGAAAAATATGAAGAACGTCAGATTTATTGCGAAGGGGATAATACCAAGTATATCGCGTAAAATGATCAACAATAATCAAATAATAACGGTACCCATCAATAGAAGTAACTGGAGCGGGACCCCAAACATCAGTATATAACAAATCAAATGGTCGAGAACTGGATAACGTCGAAACGAAAAATGGGAGTTTGTGACTTTTATTTGAGAGACAAGCATCACAAGCGGAGTGAGAGACCGATGAGGAAACTGGAAGAGAAAAGGACCGAATAAGACTTGAAAGAGTTTGTTGAGACGGATGACCAAGACGAGCATGCCAAGATGTAGGTGATGTCCGAGTAGTGACAAGAGCCAATCGAACATTTTTAACTTCCCGAGGCAGTTCATACACATCACCGTTGTTTTCCCCCCTCAGCAGGTGCGCCCCCGTGCGAAGATCCTTCACAACAAAATGAGAGGCAAAAAATTCCACCGATACAGGATTAGTTTGACATAATTTGGCCACCGAAATTAGATGTTTCTTGATAGTGGGAACACATAGAATATCACGCAAAAACAAATTATGTGAACCAGTAGTGAGTGATGATGAGCCAATGTGAGAGATAGCCAAACCTGTACCGTCGCCAACTAAAATCTCATATGGACCGGTGTAATCAGAATAGAGGGAAAGATTTCCCAAATCAGAAGTCACATGGTGGCTAGCAGCAGAGTCCAATAACCATGGACTTGAAGAAGATGGACTGCCTGTGGAGCCCATATGAGTGGAGTGCACTTGGGCCTGGCGGGCTTGAGGAAACAGCTTAAAACACTGTTTAACAGAATGCCCAGATCTGTCACAATATTGACAGGTGACTTGGGCCCGACGTGGACGGGCCGAATTAGAGGAAGCTGGGCCGTCGGATATATGAAGGGAGCGGCCCTGTTGGGCCTGAGGGGCAGCTTGAGAGGCCTGGAAATTGTGGCATGCCTCCGAAAACCCTTGCTGCAGGGTTGGGTTATGGCGCAGCCGAGAGGGTGCAGAGCCGCCGCCTCCACCTCTGCGAGGCACCTCCTGTGTAAAGAATGTCGTGGGAACAGAGGATAGCCGAGATTGTTCCTTCAAATCAGCCTCGTACTCTACGAGGGAATCCAGGAGATCTTCAATCGTAACAGTGGAGCCGCGAGCCCGGACAGCGGCGGTGAATGCGTTGTAATCAGGACCGAGGCCTCTAAGACAATGGACTACCATGTCCAAATCAGAAACATGATCATTAACAAGTGCAAGTTCTGCTGCTGTTTGCTTGAGATCATTAACAAAGGAGACAACATCACGATTGCCTTTGACTATTCGACTCATCTTCCCTTTCAGATTAATGATGCGGGATTGAGAACGACCATCATAGAGTTTTTCGAGAATCGACCATGCTTCACGGGATGTTTGTGCAGCAGAGACATATGAGTATAAAGATTCAGAGATAGAGCATCGAAGGGCATGGAGAATGAGCTTATCTTGTCGAAACCAGCGGTGATAAGCAGGATTTGGTTTGGTGTCGTCGTCTGCCGTGATCGTTTGAGCAGGGATGACGCCGGTGCCGTCGATGTAGCTAATAAGGTCCAAACCCATAAGAAGAGTTTCTAGCTGCGACCTCCATGAACCAAAATTGGTTGGCGTGAGTTTGAGTGGGAGCTGGGCAGCAGGGTTAAAAGTAACGATAGCATCATCAGAAGCCATCAAGCTGCTTGAAATTGCAGAAACAGCCATACTACTGAAGAAGAAATTAAGAATAGAGGGGAAATCGAAATTTGCAGAGATGGATTGAGCCTAGTTGATCGTAACTTGCTCTGATACCATGATAGAGTAAAGGGATATTATTGTTGTCAGGAAAACTAACTTAATCTCATTGATTATTCTGTAGCTAATTATACACGGTTGTACAACAGAAAGGAGTCCCACTCTCCTTAGAAGTAGGGGACGAGCAGTAGTGGGAGAGTGGAGAAATACAAAATAATTTATATTTACTAATTGTCCTTAATATAAATTGACCTGAATAATTGTGATTCATTAATCGTTATTCATCTACATTATTTTTCAGGTTGTGTTGGTTGGGTGTTGGATGAGTACGGTTGGATTGCGGGTTAACTCGCAAAAGCAAGTATCCAACCAGTCACTAAGAAATTTGACTAACATTTACAATAAGTTATTCGCAAATTAACATAAGAGTATCAATTTAGACACTTCTCACTTTATCTTCTATGAATACCGTATAGCATTTGCGTCAACTTTTCATTACTTCATTAACTAATTTATAGAGAAAACGACGCATTTTACAAATTTGAT